CATATCAGTGTAATAGTAAAGAAAGAAGGTTGTGCCAACGATACAGTGCCAAAAGATAGCTCATCATCCGACGACGAAGATAATGATATCGATTCGTGTGAAGAAGAGGAAGCGATACTCGAGTATGGTTTTTGTCCATGTGATGGATCACTGTTCGTAGGACAGCGAAGCTGTCGTCGCTATTCTTCAAGATGTAGTAAACGGGTAAAGGATGAAAATCAATCCATTGAGCGCGCATTTCTACGCGCAGATAATGCCGACTGTTATCACTCGGGAGGTACTATTGAATCGAGCGTTGAAATTGAACGAATCGACTTTTCAGACCCTTAAGCGGAGAAGTCAGCATGTGATCGTCATGCAGCTGTCATTAAAGGAAACGTTCGGCGTTATTTAAACGAAAAGCATAACGTAACGAACGCGGCTGAATTTGTGAAAGCCTGTCACCCGTACAATGGAGTGAAAGGTGTACGAGCATTTGAACGTGACCTGCTGCGAAGCAAGAAAGAATCGACTGCAACTTTCCCAAAGATTACTTCGGTCAATAATTTCGATTTCGAAAAGAACGGCATCCGTGTACATCGAGCCTGGAAAGTTGGCGCTGGAAAGTTAATTCCATGGAAAGATTTGAAATTCCAATATACTCGATGAGCTGGTCTTTCGAACTACCAATACAACATCACACACGGGTCTACGGTGCAAAAAGTGAAACCAAAAAGAAATTCTCAAAGGCGATGTCCTCAGTTACAACCGCTGACATAACTGAAGTTGGGTAAGATGTGTCTCGCCAGAAATGGAAATCTAATCAATCACATTGCGAATGGAAAGCGTCAGCGACGACCAGAACGGCATTCAATGCGAGATTATGCGATGCAGACGTATCATTCCAAATTGGAAGACGTTGGGGAACGTGCTTTGATATCCGTACTGCTTGAGGCTTGGTCACAGGATCACTCTGTTCCATCGCAACGGCTACCACGTGGATGGGCTTTACCCAAGGAAAGAACTCAGACTCGTTTGAATCCCGTTCAAATTCGTTATCTAACCGACAAATTCGATCAGGGCTTAAAAGAGAAAATTCGCTGGAAACCAGAAGAGATGGCTGCTGAAATGCAGCAGTAAAAACGGCCAGATGGAAAATTTCCATTTTCATCGGCTGAGAAAACCGGGCAGATCAGATCATTTTTCTCGCGTCTCAAGAACACTCGAGGAAAACTAGGAGTTATACAAGAAATTGACGAGGAAGATAATGACGAATTCAAGGACGACCAAGTAATCTCAAGAATATTTTATATCTGATTTTATCATACTTGAATATGTAATAATAATAAACTTTGTCATTATTGATTTATTCACTTTTTCAATGGTTTGTTTATGAGACAATGTTTCAGCCATTATTTTTAGAGAATCAAAAATTTGTGTTCTACCATCAAGATCACGTATTAGTGACTAGAAATAAAAATAACTACTATATTGAATTGTTACAGACTATTTTCATATGTTTACCTGTAAGATTTGAAGTTGTTTATGTATAGTCTCAGGTGTAATACTATATTTATCAGCACTTTTTTCCCATAACAATTGATTCTTCTCTAGTAATTGCTCTACTTCTATGTATAAATTTCTCATTTTACTCCATTTCGTTTGAATTTGTTTCATTGATTGAAGTGTTTCAACATGCAAACTAAGAAAAATATGAACGTGTATGTCTATGTTCACTCAAATACAATATTATTAAGGATAAGTCTCTCCCCGCAAAGATATGAGCATCGTCGCAAATGTTCTGCCAAACGTGACTTGAAATGATGGAAAACATGAATAATTCAAATTTAGTCACGCTATGATCACTTGATGATGTTCAAATTTTTATCACAAATCTATCTTCTCAAGTTCTAAATTTTTTTAATGTGTTTTCAACATCAACTTTCGTTGTGAAAAGGTTTTTAAAATGAAAAACCGACTTTTTACAAAAAAATTTTTGACATTTTTTGAATATCTCCAGAAGAAAAATATATTTTTAGAAAAAAAAACTTTAGAATTTAAGATACACTCTGAAATATCTGTGGTAAAATTTTGAGAGAATTTTTCGTCGCTGAGTCCAATACATCGATATTCTATCTCTCGTAAAATTTTAGACTCGATTGAGTCTACGCTTTCGCCATTTTGTCAACAGAATGGACAAAAGAGGAAGATAAAGACACCTTCATTACTTTTCTATCGCTTGTACTTGTTGTTGATACTGTTTAACACGTTTATCAATAATCTGTTCATCGTTTTCATTTAATAATCGTCGTTGTTTTTCTTTGAGATTTTGTATATTTTTCAATATTGAATAACCATCTTTGATACTATCTAATTCATACTAAATTCAAATTATTAGACATAAATATAATTGTTTTAACAATGAAATTAAAAAAACAAACATATTTTTTTTACTTCTATTCTATTCATTCTTTCCATTAAAGTTTTTTCATCACAATTTGTATCGTTCAATTGCGTGAATTTTTTTTGTTTCTGTTCTAACCATGTTTGTAATTGTTCGAGTAAATGATTACATTTTTGTTTTTCATCTTTTGAATTTCATTTAAATATTGAGTATGATCCTTTTTAAATAAAGATCAAAGGTTAAATTGTTAAATTAGAATAGATTTTAGAAATAAATTTTCATTATAGATACCTGAACAAGCATCCAAATATTTTGTATTTTATAACGGAATTCTTTCAATGTTTCATCGATGACTATTGAATAGTTCTTTTCAATATTTCTTGACAATGTATATATTTCATCATATATGGACTGTATATCATTCAAACTAATTTGAATCGTCTTAAAAATGGAATATTTATAATTTTTAACATTATTTTATTTTATATTTAAAATAATTGTACCTGTAGTATGTGAGTAAATTCTGTTTCTTTAATTGAATTTCTATTTGTCATTAATTTATTTTTTTGTTGTTCACAATTATTAAGTCGTTGATTTAAAATTATCATTTTTTTCATTTAAATAATTATTATTTTTTAATTTATTAATTTGATCTATTTTTTGTTTTAATTTAATAAATTCTTGTTGTTTTAAATTATCATGATATTTAATACTATATTGTTCAATACATTTTTG